GTGTCGGAGGTCTGCCCGGCTGACCTGAGTGATGCAGCAGGGCCCTGGTGCCCCGCGATCTGCAGAGAGCAGTGGAAAGTAGCACCTTGAATGTGAAGTCTCGCAGACCGGCGGCAGAGTGGCGTGCCTGTGAGAGACTTCTTTCTGAGGGAAGCTGGGGGGGGGGCGCAGTCAGCCACACGCTGAAGTTTCCTTTCAAGGTGAGAGGACAGAGCCATCACAGGTGAGGGAGGCTCTGATCTCTGGGGTTAATACGCGAATGTGAAATTCAGCCTGCTCGTCCAGCAGATCGTTTTGTGGAACAAAGCCTTCTCTGATTTCAAGAGGCCCGCTTTCAGATAACTAGATGACGGCTCTAGTAAGGAAATACTGCATCTTCTGCGACTGTAATCTGAAAGAGACAGGGGACTGGCATTTGGATATAGCGGTTGACCAGTTGTTTCGGGAACACATCAGGGTTTTTTTTAGAGGATTTTTTTTAGGATATTTATAATTCAATGATTTTTGTTTTTCGAATGCATGAACTTTTAACACGGAATTGTCAATGGAAAGAGGGAAAATCGTTTTTTTTAATAATGATTAGTGGTGATCAGTTAATCTAGTAGAGACGCACCTAATGCTGTATTGTATCTTCAGAGTAATTAAGTTCAATGCCGAGATTTGCAACCTCTAGTTTAAAGTGTTATATTTTTGGAATTATTTACTTTTCAAACACATTGCCCTATTTTTTAAAAAAAAGACGCAATGTTAGTTCAGTTTACTGAACTACAAATCCCCCTCTTTTAATTTGTGTGTCATTGGTCCCGAAAAGTCATATACTGCATCTTTTCATTTTTATGGGAAAATGTGAGCACTTATAATGGGGGTTGTCGGACTGGAGAGTGACCCTGTCATTGTCTGTGGCCTTGAGATCACTGGACCACAGAATAGGATTTAGTTTTATTACTACACACCCCAGCTCTCAGGCTCAACGAATCAATGCCTCATGTATTATTATTGGATCTGGGGCCAGCCTTTAATTACCAGCTATCTTCCGCTGTTGATGAAGGCCCCGGACTTGGGCGTTCTCTGGAATTATTTTGGTAATGTGGAGACCGCATGGAAGATCCCTGGAGCGTTTCGCCGATACGCATTAAAATTCATCTTATTGACTCCTCTTGTTTCAAAGTCAATCGAGCAGCATCGTGTAGGGCTGAGCTCTTTTGCCCTGCTAGTTTCTTTTTATTGGCGTCTACGGCATTGACCTCCATAATGAACGCCGTTACCTATAACATTAATTGCAAAATATAAATCCGATTGGCAGCACGAGCTCGTTATGATCATTTGTTGTGTATTGTGTGATTGTGGTTCTCGACACACCTGCGTTCCCTAGTTATGTTCCGGAGCGTCGTCTTATAGCTGTGCCCAATCTGCGGTGTATTATCCCTTGTTCATAACCCCATCTTGCAATGCGATTTCTGGGATTTTTTGAAAGTTGAAAAACACTTCTTCCAGCGTCTCCCTTTGTGCTGGCCGCTTTTGTCCTGCTCCAGTTTTGAATGGCAGGCTGGGGAATAACAGGAGGGATTAACAAAGGAATTATGGTCTTACGTGGGAGTTTATTTTTGTGCTTTGAACCAAATAAAAAAAAAAATGAAGAAGTTTGTTTCTGGTTAGAATAACAGAGCTAGGCGGACATTCTCCTCTGTGCGGACAGAGAATACCACAAGAGATAACCAGCAGGGGTCTGGAAGAGGGGCCAGCCTCCTGATCTGTGTTCAAGTTTGTTTGATCAATCTCCAGCTTGTATGTGCAGGTTGGACCCCCATAACAGCCTTTATGAGAGGCGCCCCAGCGAGGAGTAGAATAGGCCCCTGCAAGTGCCTGGTGATTGTCTATTGAAGAATCTGGTTATTAAAAAAGGGGGTGCCTGTTTGTGTTTCACTTATTGTTCCTCTTCACTTATCAGTCCATTATTTCGTTCTGTGACTACAAATACTTTGCATACTTAGTTCAACTTTTTAAGGGAGACAGGCGCCTTGATCAAATTCTCATTTGGAAATTGGACTCAATTTCCAGCTCCTTGGTTTCAATATTTGCTATGGTAGCTTTTAAATGAAAGGCTTTTCCTATGATTGTACTGTATGTACTGACTAGTGGAGATTGCACAATGTTTTTTTTTCTGAAGTATTTTGTTTTTAATACGTACAGGGTTTTTTTATTTATTTATCCTCCCACGTAGATGTGCTGACCCATAATCCATCTAACTGAAGGGCACAAAGGAATTACATAGTGCCAGGGCAGAAATGCTTCAGTGCCAGCAATTGGGGACCTCTGTTCCTACAACACCTCTCTAAATTACAGTTTTTAACAAATCATTATCTGAAGCATCGTCAAATGAGGCTCAGCTAGATTAAAAAAAATTAAAAAATAAATCGCAGATGCGCTGCTCAAGCTTGGGTCTTGTTAGTTTTACTGTGTGTTGTTGGACTTAGCTTTTAATCTGCAAAATGCCAACTTGACCGACATTCTTGATCAATATCATGGTTTCTGTATACAGTCCAGTAAAGCTTGTTCAGCAGTCCAGGCAGGCTCTGGGGGTTTTCGTGTCTCATCTGAGCATCTGGTCGGTGCTATTAATACAAATTCATGTGTTTTTGTTTCGCCTTGTTGCTCAATGTGTTCCTCATTTTCTGAGGCTCCAGCACTGTAGCAGAGGAGACTCTCGTGTCCATAATTTGTCATGAAACACTCTTTCAAAGCCAGCCTTGACAGATCCTGGCTCGCAGGGAGTTGAGTTGTGATGCTTCGCTCCCAAGCACTGTGCGTGTGGAGAGTTGCTGGTGGATTGAGGATTAAGTCTTTCAGGTGTTGGCCTACATGCTCACAGATGAAGCTCTGGCCAAACCAACTCTTAAGAGGGCTGAAATCCTGTCCACCTCCAAATTATATATCCTTACAACCCCATAGAAAAGTAAATTTACTTTGGGATCCTCTGAGGTGGAGCAAATATTTTTATATTTCAAGGCCTTTTCTGGTTTGGAAGGAAACTGAGCTGTAGGGAATGTCTGTCACATGGGTCAGTTTTCCAGTGGCACTGTTTTAAAAATATGATACTAAATTGCGGCATTCCTTTTGAGATTTGAAATGTACGGAGTCGGTGGTGAATACCTTTTCTGGCATAGTCTTTTGAAATCTTTTGGAAATGAGCACAGTGTAAAGTATAGTCTTGAGCTCCTGTCAGCAATGTTCCGCCCAGCAATGAGAGAAGTGTTTGGGTGCTTTAAGAAAAAAGAAGCCTTTGTAGTTCTTTTGAGCAGAACTGGTGTTCAAGTATGAAGTAAAGGAGATCTTTTGACAGTGTTCTCTGTGTGGACATGTTCTTAGATCCCACTGCGTCTCTGCAAAGAGTACAATCCAGTGTCTTTCGACAGGAGCGAGTTGCCTGTACATTTATGTGAAGCAGCCTTTCCCCATTGGTGCTGACAGGACAAAAAATGCGCCTGCATCTGATCCTGCTATTTATACCTCCAGCCAGAGACTCTGAGGCTGCATTATTAATGAAGCCCTTCCCAATTAAGATAGATGAGTCTGCTCTTGAGGGTGTTTGTTCAGGTAAGATCTCTGATTAGCATATCTGATGGATCTGCTTCCACGTGCTGATTAAAACCTTCCCCAGTCCCCGGGGCAATTTTAAAGAAAAACTGTAGAAATTAGATCATAGATCAGGAAGTGC